GGCATTGGCGGCCATCCTTCCCTTTCCCTCCCTTCCCCCCTTCCCTCTCCTCCTTCCTCCTTCCTCATCCTTCCACCCTCTTCCCTTTTCCTCCGCCTTCGCTTCTTCCCCCTTTCCCTTCCCCTCCGCCTTCCCCGCCTTCCTTCTGCCTTCCTTCCCCCCCTTCCTTTCCTTTCCCCTTCCTCCTCCTTTCCCTTCCCTTTCCCTCCCTTCCCCCTTCCCTTTCCTCCCTCCTCCTCCCAGCCTCTACCCTTCTCCTCCGCCTTCGCTTTTTCCCCCTGTCCCTTCTCCTCCGCCTTCCTCGCCTTCCCTTTCCCCCCTTCCCTTTTCTTCCGTCTTCCTCGCCTACAGTTGGACCAAGGTGTAAGCTCGAGGTTGGTTCGGGGAGGGTGCCCTGATACACTTCGTGTCCGTGGATGTTCTTGTGCGCCCTGGGAGGGGGTTCCCTCAGAAGATCTTTGTGTGCTTTGGCCAGCTGAGGGTCTCGTGCTCTTGAGGGCTGCTCTTCTGGCCTAGGTTCGGCTGTACCTCTTCTCCCTCCTCCGGTGGGCGGCTCCCTGTGCTTTTAGTGGGTTTGCGTCCTTGCTGGGGGCGTGGCTGCCTGCCGTCCGCCGGACGAGCTCGCCCCTTGAGGGCCACAGCGTGTCGATCGAGCTCCCGCCCGCCCCCGCGCCTGCGCCGCATGCTCCTCGGCTTTTGAGTCTTTAGCCCCCCGCGTTGGGGGCCGCCGCCAAGTCGAGTGCGAGGCGAGTCTCCCGTGCCCTGAGAGGCTGTCCCAAAGACAAATCCTCCCTCCGTCTCTTTTCTCCCTCCTCCCTCCTCCCCCCTCCTACTCCATCCTCCCTCCTCGCTCTCCCCCCTCACCCATCCCGCCTCACTCTCCGCCCCCTTCCCTCCTCCCTTTGGCCCGGAAGGGGAAGGCCTGGTCCAGTCAGAGTGGCGGCCGTTGCGGTTTGGGGAGCATTGCAACAGTCAGGCTACGGAGCGTGAGGGCAGGGGATGCGCAGCATGCCGGCTCGCAGGGCGTTTCAGGCACGAGTGGGAGAACATTGGCATCGGTGGGTATTCGTCGTCGTTCTGCCAGCGCCGGGTGGGTGGTCGCCCGACCTGCGCCAGAGGGCCGCAGGGAGGGTGGTCAGGCTCCTCCAGGGGGGCCCGCGACCACGACGGCGGCGACACCGACGGTGACTACCGACGACCGATGGCGACGCTGCGGACGAGGCACAGCGGACCACGACGACGATGCGGAGGCCGATCGACGGCGGCGACGGCGGCGGCGCCGACGCCAGCCCTGGCCGCGGCGACGACGACGGCCTCCTCCTCCTCGTCCTCCTCTTCCGCCTCCTCCTCCTCCTCCTCCTCCTCCTCCTCCTCCTCCTCCTCCCTCTCCTCCTCCTCCTCCTCCTCCTCCTCCTCCTTCTCCTCCTGCTCCCCCTCCTCCTGGCGAGGTGGCCTTCGGCGTGGCCGCGGGGACCAGGCACACGCGCCGCCAGCGGATCCCGGAGGGGGCGGTCCGCGCCTTGCCAGTTCTTCGGGCCAGCCGCTCAGCTCGTGGTGAGACGCAGACGCATCCGTCGTCGTCGTCGTCGTCGTCGTCGTCGTCGTCTCGCCGTCGTCGTCTCGCCGTCGTCGTCGTCGTCGTCGAGGGCGTCGTCGTCATCATCATCTTTGTCGTCGTCGTCGTCGTCGAGGGCGTCGTCGTCGCACAGGTCGCCGTTGTCGTCGGAGAAGGGAGGGGGGGGAGGCGGGGGCGGATGATGATGCGGAGGAGCAGGTGGAGGCGGACGAGGAGGATCAAGATTCGAGGGTCGAGGTTCGAGGATCGATGTTCGAGGTTCGATGATTGAGGCGCCAAGATTCATGCTCCAGGATCCAGATTCCCGGATCCAGGGTCGAGCAGGAGGAGGAGGAGCATGAAGTACATTTTGCGTTTCATGTCAGCCGCCTAGCGCGGGGATAAGGAGCACGAGCAGTATGAGCAGGAGGAGAAACGTCGAGTAATGATGGCGATTCGCTCGCCATGTCCTTCGTCTGGATGCCCCTTTCGGGCCCCGGGATCGTGCGGGGATTGGCCTGGGGTGAACATTGATCAGGAAGAGCCGCAGCGGGGTCACGTATCTGCATTTCACGCGAAGTGGTGGTCGAAAGGCAACCCAAGAACGACGAAGTCGACGATTTCGTTTCGCAGGTCGTTCGGCGCCTCTGGAGGCTCTCGCCAGCAACAGCAGGGCGCGGTCTGACACACTGGCCAGAACGGACGGACGCAAAATGGTCAGGGCATGGGGACCGATTCTGAGCAGATTTTGGCCAGAGACCCAAGCTCGAGGATCGTTGATCCTCGATCTCGCGGATCCTCGAGCCTCCTCCACCTCCTCGATCTGGAATCGAGCGGGTGCAGGAGGAGAACCACGTGCCCCCGCCGCCGCGGCTCAGGTGGCGCTGCGCTCATCCCCATGCTATGAGCCAACGGGTGAAAACTTCTCAGTATTTACTATGCAGTCCTGCCCTCTCCGATTCCTTTTCCCGGGAGCGTGCGTTGCAGGGCTTTGGTTGCAAGGGTGCGTACTTCGAAAATCGTGCATCTGCCCTCTAATGAGGGAAGGGGGGCTAGATACAATTACATGTTATTTCACTGACTGCGGCCTTCCGGGGCCCTTCTTAGGCCCCTTGAGCCGTCCAAAGCGCGGACGAGGAGCTGGTCCCCTGTAGAAGTCTCTGGGTCCACCGGGCGGGGCTCGGCTCGGGGTCAATCGTTCTTAAGCGTTCCGAAACGCTGTCAGACCTATCTGGAGCGCTCTGGAACGGCCGCGGCGCCCGATACGTCTTGCTGATCCGCTGGATCTCAGAGTCTCAGAGATTCCCGACTTGTCCCCTTCCGAACTTGCCCCAGTCTTAATTCGTTGGTTAGCATTTTCCCCTGCCGTCTCTATGCCGCCGCCGCCGCCGTTCGCAGTTGTAGGGGGCGCACACCCGTAGGGTGCTGCGCGGGCACAAATCGCAGGTCGGCCGACGGGCCCTGCGGCGCCGCGGCGCGTGCGACGCGCGCCGCATGCAGCCCGACCGCAGCGCGCACCGCCCGCAGTCGCGTCTTTGCGCTTCTGTGTTGTTTCGCGCGGGCCTGCCGCGGTCGCTCGCGCAGGCGCGCCGCGGGGATCGCGCACTGGGCGGATCGCGGCGCGCCTTGGCGATGCTCGCTTCGCAGGTTGTCTATTATATTGATTTGGGCACCGCGCTCGTGCGGCGCTCGCGCGGCGCGGGCCCGTCGGCCGTTCTGCCGCTCGGTTACAGGCGACCCGCCCAAGGGCGTCCTGTGGTTGGGCTACCCGACCGAGGGAGTCCCAACGGTGCTACAGACGCACCCGAACTCGGGCGACCCGATCGAGGGCGACCCGACAGCGCGACCATAGCGCTTGAGTACAGGCGACCCGCCCGAGGGCGTCTTGTTGATGGGCTACCCGACCTAGGGAGTCCCAACGGTGCTACAGACGCACCTGCGCTCGGGCGACCCGGTCGAGGGCGACCCGACAGCGCGACCATAGCGCTTATGTTCAGGCGACCCGCACGAGGGCGCCCTGTTGCTGGACTACCCGAACGAGGGAGACCCAACGGTGCCACCACCGCACCCGCGCAACGGTCCGTTGCGCCGGCTTTGCCGTCGCAAGTGCGCCCGCCCTAGCGCGGGCGACGCATGTTCGCCGCCCCAAAGTCGGGCAAGTGTGGCGTTACGTGTTCGTGCATTGTCCCGTGGCGCGCGCGCTCTCGTTGGTCCTGCGTGCTCGCCCGGCTGGACGATTTCGGTCCGTAGCTGTTTCGCTCGAGGAGTGAATTGCTTACCTTCCCGTCGTGCGCCCTCGTGGTTGGCTCCACTACCGCCTGCCATGTCCGCGCCGCTCCTCGATCTTCTCGAGTCTGGGGTGGGCAGGCACACGAGGCGCGACCGCGCGTGGCTGAAGCCAGCGGTCGAGGTGCTGGCGACCAACGGCATCGAGAGTCCGGAGGACCTGGTCAAACTCAACGTCAGGGCCGCGACCTTCCAGCTCAACGGGCTTGTCGAGGGCAAGGTCGCTTTCCTCGAGCGCGCCGTCGCAAAGGCAACCCAGTCCGCCGAGTAGCAGGCAGCTGCCGAGGCCGCGGCGCCAAGCGGTTCACAGGGGCCGGCGAGCGCCCTCCTGCAGGCGCTTCAGGGCGGCCGCAAGCCAGTGGTCCACGTGGACATCGCCGCAGGCCTGGGCGGCATGACCTTGGAGGGCTTGCCGGCGTCGTGCTGGCCGTCTCCGCAACTGACCGACTGGGCGCAGGGCCAGGCCAAGGCCGCGGAGAGCAAGGGCATCACGAAGCCCTTCCTCTACATGCCGATCAAGAAATTCCTCCCGTACTACGCGGCGGACAAGAGGCAGCCCGACGATCCCGAGGGGGGGCGCGGTGTCGAGTGGTCCTTCGCGCAGGAGATCGCTCGCGGCATCTGCCAGGCGAGGGGCCCCGACAAGAAGCAGGGGGACCTGCCGAGCATCCTGCAGCGGTGCGTCGCGTTTGACAGATGGGCAATCGTCGCGGCGCTCACCGGTCAGATGCCGCTCACGGCGTCCATGGCCCACAAGGAGGTCGCGATGCAGCTCGCCCTGTCGGCGCGGGCCAGCGGGCGCGCGACCGCGATCGCCGTCCTCTACGACGAAATCGCCGGGCGCGAATGGGCAGACCTTTCAGCGGGCCTGGGCGCCTTCGACGCCGCCGCGGCCGCGCAGTCGCAGAACGCGGCCACCATGCTCCGGGCGGAGCGCGAGTGCGACGCCCGCGGGTTCCAAGTGGTGCACGACCGAGCTCCAGCGCAGTCGAAGGGCAAGGCAATGGGCGCCGGCAGGGACCACAAAGGCGGCAGCGACCACAGCGCCAAGGGCGGCAAGGCCAAGGGCGACGGCAAAGAGCACAAGGGCAAGCCCGCGAACGACTCTCACCGCTGGCAGGGGCATTACTCGTCCGGGAGTGCCGCCAGCGGGGCGCAGGCGCCGGCGACGCCAAGCAAGCGCCAGAAGAAAGAGCGAGGGGCCGCAGCCGCCCCGCCCGACGCGGGGGCAGCACTCCCCGCGCACCCTGCGCATTCAGCCGCGGAGCCAGTGAGGGTCCAGTCAGGTGCAGTTCTCCCCAACACATCCTGCGCTGATCTGAGTTGCTTCCAGTCGGCATTCGACGCAGCCAGCGCGCAAGCTCTGCGCGGCGAAGTAGCGCCCGATGAGGTCGAGGCGCTGCGTTTCACGCGTGAGGCGCTCGGCCGCCGCTGCGCGCAGCCGAAATGCGCGGGCGCACAGTGCGAGTGCATGGAAGCGTTGCGGTGGAGCGCCGCGCGTAGCCTACGCCAGCGCATCGAAGAACGCGAGGAGCGCGTTCGGCGCATCGAAGCCCGGGCGGCGCACTTCGAGGCGTCCGGGGGGGCCGAGGCCGCGAGAGAGGCTGCGCCGCCAGAATTCAGGCCGCTTATCGCAGGCGTCAACATTAAGGAATTGGCACGTGAGTCTGAGTGGCACGACGCAGAGTGCATCGACTTCTTCTCGCGAGGCGCCCCTCTGTTGGGTAACTTAGAATACAGCGGCAACGGTCGCGCGCTCAGCCCGGAAGAGCGCGCGGGCGACACTAGCGCTGAGGTAGCCCGTTTGCGTGCCAGCGCGCTCGCGTGCAACGACTTGATACTTGCATCAATTCGCGAGGATCCCCTCGCCAGCGAGCTGCTCCGTAAGACGCGGGAGGAGGCGGACTTGGGTAGGATGTCTCCGCCGCGGGCTTTTAGGCCCGACGTCTCCGCGGCCGAGCTCGCCGCTGCTTGGGGCGAAACAATTCGTCTGGTGCCCAGGTTTGGGGTCTCACAACCGAAGCCCGACGGGTCGCTGAAAGCGCGCCCGGTGGATGACTTCACGCGCTCCAGGGTGAACGGCGCGTGCGCTCCTGCCGAGAAATTAAGCGTAGAGGGCGCGGACCAGCTGGTAGCGGTCGCGCGCGCCTTCTTCGAGTTGCACGGCGCACTTCCTGAGCTGTGGAAAGCGGGCGTAGATTCCGCTTACCGCCGCATCCCGTTGGCCCCCGCCGATAGGTGGGCCGCTGTCAGTGTTTTCAAGGAGGGCGGCCGCCTGTGGTGCTCGCAGCACCTGGTCTGCCCGTTCGGCGCGCTGGCATCTTGCCACGACTGGGACCGCGTGGCCGCCATGCTCTCGCACTTCGCAAGGCGGCTCGCCAAGCTGCCAGTTTCGCGATACGTAGACGATTATTTTGCGCCGGATCGCCCCGGCGCGGCCGACCACGCCATGCGGTGCTTCGCTCGCATCGTCAGAGCCGCGCTCGGCAGCGACGCAGTAGCCGACGCGAAGCTGGCGCGCGGGGCCCAGTTGGTCGTGTTGGGGCTGCTCATCTCTTTCTGTGCGCAGGGCGTACGCTGCGAGCCAGCGTGCGACAAGCGGCTCAAGTGGTCGTTCGCCATCCGGCATGCTTTAGAGTGCGGCACGTTGCACCAGGGCGCTGCGAAGAAACTCGCGGGCGCTCTCGCACGGGCCGCGCAGCACTTGTTTAAGCGCTTGGGCAGAGCAATGCTCCGCCCACTCTTCGCGCACCAGCACAAGCGCTCCAATCGTATCGGGCGGCCTCTCGAGCTCGCGCTGCACTGGTGGGCCCAAGTGCTCGAGCTCAGGCTGCGCGAAGTGGCCAGCTGGAAGCAAGGGGACATGCCCGCGGCACACATGTTCTGCGATGCGCGGAGCACGCCCCCTCGCGCCGCCGCCGTGCTTTTTATAGACGGCGAAATCCTGTTTGCCGAGTGCGCACCCGACGCAGCTCTGATGCGGAATTTCAAGCGCAGACGCGACGGCCAGATTATGGGCCTCGAGGTCTTGGCGGTCGCATCAGGCTTGTCGTCTTTTGAAGAGCGACTGGCAGGTCGGGCGCTGGAAGTGTTCTCGGACAATTCGGGGGCCGAGAGGTCAGTGGCGCGCGCGAGCGCCCGGGACTGGGATCACGCAGCCCTCGTCCGCGGCATTTGGTCTCTCGCGGCGCGCATGTCCCTGTCGATGTGGGTGCGCCGCGTCCCGTCCAAAAGCAACATCTCGGACGGGCCGTCCCGCGAGGTCTACAGTCTCTTGCACCTGCTCGGCGCGCGCCAGGTGCCAGCGGTGCTCGATGCGCGGTTTCACGCAGCCGAGGCCTGGGAGGCGCTGTGGCTCTGAGCAAAAAGAGGGAGGGCTCTCATCGTCTGTCGCTTCCCTGCATCATCGGTTGCGTCCGCGTGCAGGTTGGACGCCGCGCTGGGAGCGCCCGGCGTCTTCCGCTCCGCGTCCGCGCGCGCCGCACTGGGAGTGCGGTCCCTTCTTCCCCCCCTCCCTCCTCTCGCGCCGGCCCCCCCTTCCCCCCCCTGTGCCTCCGCCCTTCGCCCCCCTTCCCCCTCCCCCCTCCTCCTCCCCCCCGCGCCCCCCCCGGTCGCGCGCCGCCACTGCAGCCAGCGCCGGTCGCGCGGCGAGGGGGGGGCGTTCCTGCTCGGCCGCGCGTCGCGTTTCCGATCGTTTGTCGTCTGGTGGCGTGGATGTGACGCGCTTGGCGCTTGGACTGCGCAGGGCGGGCGTGCCTGGCGTTCCGGCCATCGCGCGCGCCGCCAGGCTCAGTCGCTCGTTTTTCGCGCGCAGGCAATGATGTGGAAGTTGATCTGATTGCAAATGTACTGGTCGCGAACGGTTTCGAACACGTCGCTGACGCACGCGGCGCAAAGTGGAAACGCGTAGCAGGTTTTGAGCGTTTCTCCGCAGACGCCCAAGCGCGCTTGCGTGAGATCGCGGCGGGAGTTCCGCGGCCGCCGAGCGGGCCGCCTCCAGCGCCGTCCCGTGTGCTGAAACAACCGGCGCTCGCGCGCGGCGGCCCGGGCGCGCTCGCGCCGGGTGCCGCGTGCGACAGCGCGGCGAAGCGAGAGCTGGCGCGCGCTTACAGGGCCGTGCGCAGCGTGAAATTGTCACCCGTGCCCACGGGCGGCCCTCGCAAGTCCGTCGCGAGCGGCGCTCGCGGGCCGCCGTCGCCAGTGGCCATGCAGGACAGCCCGGCCCGCGCGCGAGCTTTGGCAATCGTCGGCTCGGCGCCGCGTTCCTTCGGGTCCTGGGGGGCTGCGGTCCGGGCGTGGGTGGCTTTCGCGCAGCGTCGCCTCAACAGAGACGGCTGCAGCGCACTGCCGCCGTCGGCCGACGAGGTGTGCTTGTTCGCGCTCGAATTTCGCAACCCGCGCACCTTCGGCAATTACGTGGCACAGCTTAAGAAGGCATGCCAGTTGTTGGGCCGGGACGCGTCGGCCTTTTCGCATCCTTCGGTTAGGGGCGCCCGCAAGGCCATCGGGAAGCGGCGCCCCGTGAGGCGGCCGCTGAAGTGTTTCGTCCTGCTCTCGCACTTATCGGCTATGCTCGACTTTGTAAGTGCCGACAGCGGGACGTGCGCGCTCTTCTCGGTGTCCTGGGGGTTCGCTCTGCGCGTGCCCTCCGAGGCCCTCTTGTTTGAGCGAGGCGACCCATCGGCATTTAAGGACTTCGCCTTCACTGGCGAAGACCTGCGAAGGCCAGTCGCAAGAGTCGTCATCTTCTTGCCGGGCGATTCTGCAACGTTGCATTTCTCGCGGCGTAAGCACCGCGACGGCCCGACGGTCGCGGTGCGGAATTGCTGGTGCAAACATTCGCGTGCGACTTGCATTGTGCACGCGGCGCGTAGTTTTTTCGAGGGCATTTGCGTCGGCTCGCCCGCGTTCCCGCATATGCGGCGAGTCGACGGCAGCGGCGTCGTCTCAATCGCCGTGCCCGTGCAGCGCGCGATCAAGGCGGCGGCGCGGCACGCCGGCGCACCAAGCGCGGCTTCTTTTACGAGCAAAGCGTTCCGCCGCGGGCACGCGGAGACTAGGCGGAGGTGCAACGGCCGCCCTTGTGAGATCCTCCGCGGTGCCGATTGGAGTTCCCGCGCTTTCAAAGAATACCTTGATATGCACCAGCACGAGGGCGATGCGACCGCCGAAGCAGTGGCCGCAGCCTCGTGCCCAAGCGCCGGCGCGGCGAGCAGACCAGGTTCTGCATCGGTGCCTGCGGGGGAAGTCGGCCAGGCTCACGATCGGCGCGCACTGCGACCTGCACCCGGGGTTCCATTGGGTCGCGGCAGGCCTGGCGCGCCCCGACCAGGCGAGCCTGGGCGCTTGCGGCGTTGGGTTCGACGCCCAGGCTGGCCTGGTCGGGGACTGTGCGCGTCACCGAAAGCACCCCCCACGCGGGGCGCTCGCGGGGCGGCAGCCCTGGCTCGGTCGCCGCGCCCATCGCTGGGGCGTTGGCGCCCGAGGTCGGGTACACAAGGAAGGCGCGCCGAGATTTGCGGGGGGCGCGCGCCCGTAGGGTGCTGCGCGGGCACAAATCGCAGGTCGGCCGACGGGCCCTGCGGCGCCGCGGCGCGCGCGACGCGCGCCGCGTGCAGCCCGACCGCAGCGCGCGCCGCCCGCAGTCGCGTCTTTGCGCTTCTGCGTTGTTTCGCGCGGGCCTGCCGCGGTCGCTCGCGCAGGCGCGCCGCGGGGATCGCGCACTGGGCGGATCGCGGCGCGCCTTGGCGATGCTCGCTTCGCAGGTTGTCTATTATACTGATTTGGGCACCGCGCTCGTGCGGCGCTCGCGCGGCGCGGGCCCGTCGGCCGTTCTGCCCCGCCCACCCGCTCCTGGGTGCGGGGCTGCCTCGGTCGTTGGCGGCCCCTTGTCCGCCTCTCCCGCCCGCCCTTGGGGCTCAACGCCCAGGCTGGCCTGGTCGGGGACTGTGCGCGTCACCGAAAGCACCCCCCACGCGGGGCGCTCGCGGGACGGCAGCCCCGGCTCGGTCGCCGCACCCATCGTTGGGGCGTTGGCGCCCGAGGTCGGGTACACAAGGAAGGTGCGCCGAGATTTGTGCGATCTTGTACCGCAGCTATGTTTGGATTCAAGATGCTTGTATGGCACCTCGGGTCGACCTGGTGTCAGTGATAAGGGCGCGTTGTGTGTCGATGTTGTCCTTCCCCCCGCGCTCGCACATCCGGTGTAAACAGCCTACCGGATATCGCAGATATGTCGATACGACTTTGTCCTGAGCAGCGGCGAGACCAACATGGCATCATCCTCACACCCATTTTTGCTGTGGACCTCGCTCTCCAGGCATACGTATATATATATATGTATATATATACACACATATATATATACACATGTAAAGATACGGCTGCCCGCCGACAGCGCGATGCTTGCATCAATGGCGCGCGCGCTGCCGCCGACAGCGCATATAATTCAACGATGAGCCGTTCACGCGAGCACAAGAACATGTCTCGACATTTGCTCAACCGATGGATCGAAATTAAAAGTTCGAACGAGACCTCCCAGCTGGCACCGGCGATGACGGTGCCAGTTTCGAAATTTCGTCGATCGATGGGGGGAACGCGCGTCGCGGTGTCCCAGGAAAAACGCTTAAGAGGCACCACTGGCAAGACCCGGCGCCGAGGCGACCTAAAGTGCCAGACGACGTCCGCGTGGAACGAGACTCGCCGATGCAGGTTTCCAGTTTATCTGGGAGTTCGGCAGAGGAGAACGCCTGTCCCGTGATACTTGGAGCCGAGGGAACACCTGATGAAGCAATGTCGCCACCTTTGAACGTCAGACGCCCGACCCTCCACTGCCCATTGATGTCTAGATTCCGTGGGGGGTCGAAAAGCAGCCTGGTTCGCCGCGGTTCGTCGTCGTGCTTTTGTTCGATCGAGGCTGGTTGCTGGGCCCGTGGGCCAAGCTGCCCCCCCAAAGCAGAAAACCGATGCCCAGGAACATAACGGCACATTCATGGTCTGTGTTTCCGCCCTGTTTCAGGATACGGTTCACACATCTGTCCGCTTTGCACCATCAATTGGCCTTGCCTGGATTGCATGCGTTCGAGAGAGCATAATGTTCGATATCTTGCGTTCGTGGAGTGGCAACGGCAACACTCGAGAAGAATGCTGCCGAAAAAGACGAGCTTCTCGAACAAATGGCTGTATGCATGCAAAAGTTCAAACGGCAGGGCGATGAACACTTCTGGCGCATGCAAAATGCATGGGGAAGGTTGCTACAGAGTGAGCAGCAGGCGCAATTGAGCCACAGGCAACATCGGAGGCAGGTCAGTTGTCTCTGGTGGAAGCTGAACGAAGCAAGAAAGACATGGGAGAGCCTGCCACACAAAACGTAATGGATGCGGAGTTGAAAACCGCGGGGGAATGATTGAACAAGAGCTGCATGTGCGTTGTCCACTGCCGGCTGCCGAAGAAGCAACGAAGAATTCCGAACGCTCAGTTGAAAAGGGGCCATGCGGGAGAGGACGGCTCAGGCAGCTGCGAAAGTTCAGCATGTTCAAGAGGAAGCGTCTGTTGCGGTGCAGCAGGCAACCCTCTGGGCGCGAACTGCCTCTGGTCACGCGGGGGGAGTGAAGGAAGGAATGCGCGAGTTTGGTGAAGACATCGCTAACCAAAAGCAGGCGCAGATAAGCTTGATTGCTCTACAGGAGTACAACCCTTAAGTGGATTGACTGAGCGAGAGGACTCCCCAGAGGGTCGCCCGGTTTTTTTAACTTGAGTTTAACATGGAATTCCGGCTCAAAATGAACATCTGGGATCTGTTAACATGTAACATACCGGCGTAAAGCAACATTTTGGCTTAAAACGCGTCGGCACATAAACTTGCATGATGCGCAAAATCATGATATCCACAAGCATTTACATGGATATATAACATAAATAAATTCGCAACCGATCGTGTCACGCGCCCATTCCGCGCCGCAGGGCGTGGTGGCGGATAATCCACTTGGTAGCATACGTATTTCAGCGCGGGGAGTGTAGCGTCCAAAGTTTCAGCCAGTCAAGCGAAAGCTTCGCTTGGAAAAGGAACAGCCCGAGCAGATATTCGGCAGTGCTACCACGCCCCATCGTGTGTTTCTCCCTCCTGTTTCCTGATATCCTCAAGATTCGTTGCCACCGCAAGTGTCGCGCCGATTGCAACCGCGACCTGGCATTTTGATAATTGGCCCGGGCCAGAGATGTAGGCTTCATCCGTTGATATTCTTCCGGCCAGTATTACTTGCGCAAGTAGAAGTCCATGTTCGGCAGTTTTGGCTGCGGCAGCATCGCGAGTGGATGGTGGCTTCCTTGCGTCCTGCGCGTGCGACTTGCAA